CCGACCTCGGCGCCCCGTCGGCGGGGTGTGCAAGTTTGCCCTAGACGTCCGCGAGCTCGCAGCCACGCCGCGCTCGCCCTTAGGACTCCTTGGCGGCCCAGACGGTAGGTTGGCGCCGGAGAGCGCGTCCTGCATCTTGATTACCTCGGGCCTTGTAAGGGTCACCTCTTGTGAGAACACCTGGGAAATCGATCTGCGCCCAGTGCAGCGTGCGGGACGGCTGGAGGGCTGGGCACCCCCGGGCGTGGGACCCCGGATGCCTGCGCAGGGTGGGGTGCAGCCTGAGGTCACGTCCTGTGGCCACTGAAGGCCGGCGGCTCCGCTGAGGACCGCAAAACTGCCGGAGTAGCTCAACAATAAACTGAATTGGTAAAACTGAACTTAACTAAATAGCTTTTGTTGACAAGTCGATTGTTATTCATTCTTAATGTTTAATCGTTATCGCGGTTTTGCAGGCGGAAGAGGGTTGGCACCTGAAAAGTGTTTCCCTTAGACTCACAGAGAAACATCAGGTGGCAGAGTCACAAATTAAGGCCTAGCATCGCACTTCCTCAGCTGCGTCCACGTTACAAAACAAACGGCTACTTGCTTACTTGTGACTCTATAAAAGGAGCAAATAAACCAATATTCTGTGGGCCTGAAGCATTAAGCCCTAATAAGCTTCAGAGTCAGCATTTGGTGGAGAGGGTGGAGCAAAAAACAAAACAAAACAAAACAAAACAAACAACAACAACAAAAACGGGAATGAATGGGCAGGTAGTCTTTGTGTTCCTGTTCATTTTCTCACTGCCCTCTGGTGATGACGTTCTTTTTCCAAGTTACCCGAGGTTCTGGCAAAACACCCATAGCTGTGTCCCCTTATCTTCTACTCTGCCGTCTATGGTCCACTATGGTATCCTTTCCCTAAGTGCGCTTTCCTAGCCTAATGGGAAGCCGTTGTGGTTCCACTGTCTGTCACTCCTGCCCCGACCAACAGCTCTTCCATGAGGGAACACGGTCAGAGAAGCACTAGAAAATGAGAGATGCTCCACAACTGAGCTGTCACCGGGGAAATGGCACACTTGGGCCCCGCTCCCATTCCCCAGTCTCCTGGGAACATGAGTGCCACAGTTTGTAGGCACAATAGTGGTGGTGGTGGGGCTGCCTTCCATTAGACCTTAGTGGATTGGGTGGGGGCCGGGTGGTTTCTTTAGAAAGAGTCATCTTTTGGACAGTTTGGGAGACATTTTGTTTTTGGAATGTAAGGTGTTCTGGCACTTTGTCTATAAAATGCTGAAGAGTTTGGGATCCGTGATGTCTGATACAGCCCTTCTCTGAGCAAGATGGGGTGGTGCACTTGGGAGGCAGAGGCAGTTGAAGAGGATCAGAAGTTCAAGGCTTGCCTCGCTGGCCCAGAGATTGAGACCAGCTGAGCTTGCGAGACTGCCTGAGGCAGCCCCACCTGGAGCAGCCAGGGGTTTGTTGTCTGGCAGTTTCTTCCATTTGGTTCCATACAGATAACATCAAGAAAATCAGATGGCATCTGGAGATTTCTGCTCACCTGGAGAAGGGGTGGAAATATTGCAGCAAGGTAAGGGTAGCTGTCTGCAAAAGGCTTGGTGACATTTCCAGGGGTCTTGTCTAGATTCTTGCTTCTGTGGTGAAAAGGGCTCTCCCCGTTTCTGAGGAAAGTGAAATTCAGGGGCTGGAGAGATGGCTCAGTGGTTAAGAGCACTGACTGCTCTTCCAGAAGTCCTGAGTTCAATTCCCAGCAACCACATGGTGGCTCACAACCATCTGTAATGAGATCTGGCACCCTCTTCTGGTGTGCGGGTATACATGGAGGCAGAATGTTGTATACGTAATAAATAAAATCTTTAAAAAAAAAAAAAGAAAGTGAAATTCAGGAGATTTAGGAGGACTTCGTTTGAGAATCAGGTTAGATGAGCAGTCCATGCGGATTCAGTATCTGCTTCTGCAATAGATGCTGCATGCCATGCTGTATTGGTAGTCTGTTGCCACGGTAACGGTGGCTGGCCTGTCCCTTAAAGGCTTCTTTCCTACTTGTGTTTTCATGTTTCTCCTGTAGCCCAGGCTAGCCTGCCTCCACCTCATAGTTTGGAGATTATACGTGTGCACTACCACGCCCAATTTTATGCTCGATAATGAAAATAAAAGATTTCTTAGTCTCTAAAATGACTTTGGATATAATAGTCCAAAGAGTAAACATCTTGGTGTCTGGTAGGTAATGGTAAAAGCCCCTGGGAGAGAGGTGGAAAAGGGGCCTTGAGCAGACAGGGTAACTGGAAGACGCTGCCCCCTTGTGGCCTCTCTCCGTGCAGACGTGCCCACGCTGGTTACTCAGCTCTGCTACAGAGTTCTAGTGGTCAGCTGCTTCCTTCTGCCTTTCCTCAGCTTTGCTTGTGTGACTGACTGAGGTCTCTTCCACAGTTGAAATTTGCCACGTCTCTTTCCCTCTCTTCCTCAAGAACTCTAATGATTCCAGCCAGGCTTGATGTTGCATGCCTGTAATCCCAGCATTTAGGTGGGTGAGGCAGGAGGATCACAAATTCAAAGCCAGCCTGGGGCTACATAGAAAACCTTAAAAAAAGATCCTAGTAACTTTGTATTATTGAGGTGTTTTGGCTACTGGTGGTTTATACTAAATGGTCTCCCTCCTCCCCTTCCTCTCTCTTCTCCCCTCCCTTCCTCTTTTCCTCCCTCCCTTCCTTCTCTTGGAGCTGGGAAGCAAACCAAGTCCTCAGCAAGTACACACTCTACCCTCTACTCCTTGCATTTCCATTCACCAAAACTCTAACGTTGGAACTGGGGCTGTAGCTGGTGGTTGAGCCTGTGCTTACTGTGTGCAAGTCCTGGCGACCTTACTTTATTAAATACTTGTTTTCCTTTGATCAATATTCTTATATATATAAAGTAAATACTTTAAATACTTTTAAGTATCATTTCTGGTTTATTTGTGATTTGTATTTTGAAACAAGGTCTCACAGTATAACACAGGCTCCCTTGGAAGTCACGTAGTCCAAGGCCTCGAACTTCTAGATCTCCTTCTCCTGCCTCGATCTCCCTGATGCTGAGATTCCAAGTGTGTGCCACCACATCCAAATATTCACTGTTTTGTTTGTTTGTTTGTGTGAGGGCTGAAGTGGGCGATCAGAAGACATGTTTCAGGAGTGGGTGCTCTCCTTCACCATGTGGAGGGCCAGGCTCAGGTGGCCAGGCTTGGTGACCAGTGCCCTGACCAGCTGAGCCATCTAAACGGCTGCTGTTTGTTTTTGACATTGTCTCCCTGTGTTGTCAGGCAGACTTCAATGTCTTGGCTTTAAAGGCTGCTCCCCAGTCTCCTGAGTAGCAGGGACTACAGGTGTGTCACCGCTCCTGGCTTCATTTTCCCCTTTAAACTGCATTCTATATTTATTTATTATGTATACAATATTCTGTCTGCGTGTATGCCTGAAGGTCAGAAGAGGGCACCAGACCTCATTACAGATGGTTGTGAGCCACCATGTGGTTGCTGAGAATTGAACTCAGGACCTTTGGAAGAGCAGGCAATGCTCTTAACCACTGAGCCATCTCTCCAGCCCCAAACTGCATTCTGTTTAGAGAATTTTCCTACTCAGAGCCAGGGTTGTCATTTTGTTTGTTTCAGAAGTGATACCCAATGTTGCTTTGTCTGTCATTTTTTAAGTATGTGTCAAGCAGTTTCCTCCCTGTGCCCTGACTGAAGAGGACCTGATTCAGAACCCGAATTTCAGCAAGCTGTTGCTTAGTCTCTCACAGCATATGGATGAAAGTGGTTTAAGCCTCACCCTGGCGAAAGAGCAGGCTCAGGTAAGGCCCCCAGGAGAAGGGCTGGCAGGAGGAAGAGAAAGTCCTTGAGAGAGAAGAGTCTCAGACAGGGGTTTTGTTTTATTTCGAGGCATGGAATGAAGTTAGGCTGCGTAAGATGGCGTGGCTGAGGTACGAGATTTTACAGAGAATCATCCAAGAGCTGCTCGTGGACTATTATGTGAAGGCACAGGACAAAAATCTGACATCGGAAGACAAAAAGGTGAGGCCAGAGAACTGGGGTGGTGTTGGTTATGGTGATAAGAACTACGGGGTAGGAAGCCGTGGGAGGCTGTGGAAAGAGCTCGGTGCAGAAATGTGAGGCTGGTCTGGGCAACACAGTGAGACCCTGTAGGAAGAGAGGAAGGGAGGGGAGGGAGATGGAACCCTAGTCTTCAGTTCCCTAAAGCGGTGACTCTCTTGAGGACCTGGAGAAGGTGTGAGAAGAGGCGATGATGACATCCTTTTGTTTTGTTCTTTTGAGACAGGATGTAACCCTTTGTAGCCCTGGTTGACCTGGAACTGACCATGTAGACCAGGCTATCCTCAACCTCATAGAGGTCTGTCTGCCTCTGTCTCCTATGTACTGAGATTAAAGGCTAAGTCAAAAGTGGTTTTTGTTGTTGTTGTTTGTTTTGTTTTTTGAGACAGGGTCTCTGTGTAGCCTTGACTGTCCTGGAATTCACTCCATAGACCAGGCTAGCCTCAAACTCACATAGATAGACCTGCTTCCTTAGTGTTGGGATTAAAACATGCACCACTACTGCCCAGCTAAATCAAAAGTTTGTTTTCTGTTTTGTTTCTTTTTTGAGACAGGATTTCTCTGTGTAGCTCTGGCTGTCCTGAAACTTGTTTGTAATCTCGAACTCCACAGAGATCCGCCTGCCTCTGCCTCTCTTGAGTGCTGGGATTAAAGGCATGCGCCACCACCGCCCGGCTCTGGCTGTCAGTTTTATAGTCTGTTTTTTTTTTTTTATTCTCAGTTTCATGAGACCCTCGAACAGCGACTGCTTGTAACTGAGCTGGCACAGCTTTCAGGTCCTGGCCAGGAGCCCGAGATGCCCCCACTGCTAGGGTTCGAGAAGGCTGACCTCCTGGAGCTCATGCCCCCCTCACAGGTTGGAAGCAGTTGTTGTATCTGTTGCCTGTCTGTCTCTCCATCCCTTTCTTCAGGACCTCATGTACTTTCCTCAGGTTGACCTTGAACTTTTTATTCCTCACTTTACGCCTCCCATGTGCTGGGCTGCAGGTTGCACTGCCATACTTGATTTATGAGGTCCTGGGAGTCAGACCCAAGGCCTCACTCTACCAATTGAGCTACAGCCCAGCTAAACATTTCCTTTTCCTTTTTCTATTTTTCTTTTATTATTCTTGTTCTATGTTTATGGGTATTTTGCGTAGTTGTGTATCTGCGCAGCATATATGTGGAGTGCACACGGAGGTCAGAAGAGGGCATCAGATCCTCTGGACCTGGATTACAGATGGTTGTGAGTCACCATGTGGGTGCCGGGACTTGAACCCAGGTCCTTTGGAAGAGCAGCTGGTGCTCTTAACTGCTGAGCCATCTCTCCAGCCCATAAGCTTTCTTATTAAGCTTTACTGTTTTTCTAAAAAATTACATATATCATCTGGTCAGACTCAAGAAAAATGTCACACCCAAGAATGGAATATCTGAAATACTACATCTAGAAATTTTGTTTTTCTTTGAAACTAGAGTGTTTATGTTATGATGAAGGCGCTGGGTCCATCACTGCCCTCTTGGGTTTAGCTGGTGGTGTTCCTTCACAGAGCCCACGTCTGAGACGGTGACAGACAGTTTCAGATGTCCCGTTTGCCCAACCCTGGTAGTGTTTCTGCCAGACTTCTTGTTCCAGTTACTCATTCTCTGCTTGGCAGGGTGGCCATTTACACCAGGCTGACTCCTGAGGCTGGCAGGCCTCAGAGTCACCACAGCCACACAGCGTGTGCATCCTCGTGAGGTACTTAAACACAAAGTCCCCATTGTCATTTTGCTCTGCCCCTCAGCCAGGGACTGGAAGAGTGGAATGCAGTGTTCGTATAAACAACCTGTGCTGATATTATACTCTCCTTGCTCGCTCTCTTGTTTTAAGATAGATATGAATGCTTTGCCTACGTGTATGTCTGAGCACCACATGTCTGAGGAGGCTAGGAAAGCGTGTTGGATCCCCTGGTGTTGCTTCCCCTACAGCACCCTGGCTGACCTGAGCCTGCTGCCACCTCGCTTCTGAGGCCGAGGCCCCGGTGAGCCTTGTGTCCTGCTGCTGTCTCAGCTGCTGCCTCCATGTCGGGAGCCAAATGTTGTTTTTTGACTACTAAGTCTCTATCAGTTGCTGGATGAAAACCTGCTAGCTCAAAGAGGCAGAAGAAGCAGCCAGCCAACCTTCCCCCTCCCATGGTCATCTCAGAAAAAGTGTTTCACCCACAGCAACTGAAACAAAACCTCTTACAACCAGATGTCCCTCCCCTCTACTTCCTGTGTCTCTCTCTCCCAGACCTCCTGACTTGCCCTCACTCTCTATGGTTACTTCCAGTCAACTGATTGCTTGCTCTTCCTTTTGACCTATGGTTGATTTTATTTAAATGATGTGATCTCGGGGTTCACAGTGTGATCAACTATCCCACAATACCCTGGAGCTGGAGTTACGGCTGTTGCAAGCTGGGAAGCAAACCTGGGTCCTCTGAGCCATCTCTACAATCTCTCCACTTTTGAAAACATTTTTGGGAGACAAGGTTTAACTGTGTAGTTGTGGCTGGATGTGGATGAGGCTGGCCTTGAACCCACAGAGATCCAGCTCCTCTGCCTCCTAAATGAGTGCTGCAAATAAAAGCGTGCTCTACCCCTACTCTGTAGGCCAGACTGGCTTCATCCTTGGTGACTTAGCTAAGGCCTGCTTGGGCTACGTAAGACTGCCTTTAAAGCAAAAGGACCCAAATTAATAGAGGAAATTCACGAGTAGAGGCTGGGGAGGGGCTCAGTGCATGAGTACATATGGCTCTTGGAGAGGACCTGATGTTCAGTTCCAAGGACCAACCTGGGGCAGATCATAACTGATTGTAATTCCAGTTCCAGGGGTTCTGACACCCACTTCTGGACTCCATGGGCACCTACACTCAAACACGCACATTTTCCCCTCACAGACATAAAAATATCAGTAAATCTTTAAGAAATCCTAACACTCAGGAGGCAGATGCAAGTGTATCTCTGAGTTCGAGTCCAGCCTGTTGTATTTAGCTAGTTCCGGGCCAACCAGATCCATGCAGCACAGTAAGACCCTGTCTCAGAAACAAACACAATGCGTCGAGGCTCATGCTTAAAAACCCAGTACTTGAGACTGAAGCAGAGGGTTGTGAGTTCAAAGCCAGCCTGAGTCTATGTAACGTGTCTATCCCAGTAAACAAGCAACAAAGCCAGATGTGGTGGTACAAGCCATTAGTCCCACACTCGGGAAACAGGCAGGTGGATCTCTGTGAGTCTGAGTCCAGCCTGGTCTTACACAGTGAGTTCCGTTCCAGGACAGACAGGGCTATGTAGAGAGATCGTATCTCAAAGAACCAAAAACAAACAAGCAAACAAAACCCAAACAAACCAGAGAATAACAGCAGAGATAAATAAAATGACACCCCCAGTAGCACTCTGAGCATTGTCTAGGCTTGAGTCATTCCCAGGGATGGGGCGATAGCTCAGCGGTGGAGCCCTTGCCCAGGGGCCCTGAGTTCCATCCCCAGGATGAAAGAACAAACAGAACCGCTGGTAGGATTCCATTGTGTGGATATAGCGTAATTTGCTTGCTTAGTGTTAGGATTTACGTTTTTGAGACAAGGTCTTATGTAGTCTCTGGCCTCAGTCCCCCAGTGCTGCCATTTCTTTTTTGCGAGACCCTCTGTGCCCTTGCACCTGCTGGACAGGTCTGTGTGCTCTCTTCAGGACTTTGTGTGGATGAGAGAGCGGCTCCGGCTGGAGGTGGAGGAGCAGCTCAAGAGGAAGTGCTTTACTCTGCTGTGCTACCACGACCCCAGCTCAGGTGAGAGCCGCCTCCCCTGTCGTGTGGCCGTCGGCTCCTTATAGCCTGCGTTTCAGTTTGATGTGGGTTTCAAACAGGTCTTTTTGGTTGTTTTTGTCTTTTGAGAAAGGGTTTCTCTGTGTTATCCTGGCTGCCCTGGCACTCACTTTGTAGACCAGGCTGGCGTTAAACTCACAGAGATCCGCCGGCCTCTGCCTCCTGAGTACTGGGATTAAAGGCCTGCGCCACCACCGCCACCACCTTTAGGGCATTAGCAATGGGGGTTTCTGTCCTCCTGTCTCTGCCCAGATACTGATGGAGAAACTCTGAAAGCAGCCAAGGTGTGGAAACTGCCAGAGGTCCTGGTAGGAGAGAAGCAGCAGTGCCTGGAGGCCAGGAACCTGCAGAAGGAGCAGCTGGTGCTGCTGGAGAAGAAGAGAACCACCTACTCCCAGGCGCTTCTCCGCTGCCTCACCTTGCTGCAGAGGCTTCTTCAGGAGCACCGGCTGAAGACGCAGTCCGAGCTCGACCGCATCAATGCCCAGTACCTGGAAGTCAAGTGCAGCGCTATGATCCTTAAAATGAGGTGAGCTGTGAGCCCACTGGTCAGAGGGATTCTGTCTCACCCGCCACTCCTCCACCCTGCTTCCTCATCTCTCCATGCCTAGTACCAGTGGGTCCCCGGAAGTGCCACACGGCACTATAATTAGCCTTTTTTTGTGTTACCCGAAAGTTTTCAGCACTTAGAAGTGTTTATTTACGGCCTTCTGAAATAGGTGCTGTACTCTGAGGTCACTTGCTTGGGGACTCACTCACAGTGACTTTGTCTATCTCTTCTCTATAGCTTGACTACAGCTAGCTACTCTGAATTTTTTTTTATAGCTTCCCACTGTGTAGTTCTGGCTAACTGCTGGCCTGCAATTCACTACGTAGGCCAGGCTGAGTTTGAACTCAGAGATCCACCTGCCTCTGCCTATTGAGTGCTGGGGTTAAAGGCATGCACCACCACAACAGAGTTAAATGTTCCCTTTTGGAAAATTCTGCTTCAATTTATTTTTCTTTTGTTATATGTATGAGTATTAGTATTGTTTGAATGAACTCTGGTGGCCACAGAGGTCAGAAGAGGGTGTCAGATTCCCTGGAACTGGAGTTACGGGCAGTTGTGAGCTGCCTTGTGGGTGCTGGGAATTAAACCAAGGTCTTCTGCAAAAGATGCTCTAATCCACTGAACCACCTTTCCAGCCCCCAGCTTCTTGGCCACTCTTTACTGTATTTTAAAAAGGCATGTGTGAGTGTGTGTGTGTGTGTGTGTGTGTGTGAGAGAGAGAGAGAGAGAGTTTGTGTGTGTGTTGGGGTGGATGTGTGTATGCACCACAGTGCATGTAGAGGTCAGAGGACAACTTTGTGGGATCCGGTTCTCATCTTCCACCTTTACGTGGGTTCCAGGGATTGAACTCAGATCATTAGGCTAGCACACCAAGCACTTTTTATCCTCTGAGCCACCTTGCCGGCCCCTAAACTCTTTGTTTTGGGATCTTCCATGTAACATTTTCTCCCCTCTGTCAGGATGGAGGAGGTGAAGGTTTTGTCTGACACTTACAGTGCTGAGAAACTGGAAGTGCATCGTCTGATCAGGTAAGAGCCCCAAGAGCTGGGCACCGCTGTTCGTGGCCTGGCCCCAGCCTTGTCAGATTTGCTCAGGTCTGGTTTCTGAGGACTCACAACTTCTACTGAACTTTCTCTGCTGGGGCTCTTAGGGACCGTTTGGAGGGAGCCATTCGCCTACAAGAGCAGGACCTGGAGAAATCGAGATTGGTCCTGAAAACCTATGAGGTCCTTGGAGAAGACTTTGAGAACCTGGTAAAGGAATACACGCAGCTCAAACAGGCAACTGAAAACAAGCGTTGGGCTCTCCAGGAGTTTAGCAAGCCCTAACCACTGAGTTGAGTGTAGGCAGAGCCCGGAAGCATGGATTCTACATGGCCACCTCCGCTTCCTGTTCACCAGACTACCTCCACTATTAGGGAAACACTGCAGTCATTAAGACACCCTCCTAGTTTCCTTGTCTACAATGACTGGGTCTTTTCTGGGAAATGTAGCTATCAGATTTATATAATTTTATGCATATCTGTTTGCACCAGCCCTGTGTAATATTATTTCCTGAATAAAGTAGTAATGTTGCATCTCGGGATTTTAGTAATTTTCCTTGGCAAAGATGGAAAAAGAACCTTGAATTGTGTGTGTGTGTGTGTATGGCGGTTTGAGTAAGAAAGGCCCCATAGGCCGATATATGTGAATGCTTAGTCACCAGGGAGTGAACTCTTTGATAGAATTAGAAGGATTAGGAGGTGTGGCCTGGAGGAAGTGTGTCACAAGGAGTAGGCTTTGACAGGGTTTCTCATAGCTATGGAGCCTGTCCTGGAATTCGCTCTGTAGCCCAGGGTGGCCTCGAACTCACAGAGATCCGCCTACCTCTGCCTCCCAAACTCTGGGATTAAAGGCGCGCGCCACCAGTGCCCGGCTGGCTTTGATGTTTTTAAGCCCGTGCCAGGTCCAGGACATAGCTCTCAGCGACTGCTCTAGCGTCATGTTTCCAGCCGTGGTGTGAGTGGACTAACCTCCCAGTTAAATGCTTGCTTTTCTAAGAATTGCTATGGTTGTGTCTCTTCACAGCAATAGAACACTGACTGTCTTGGTAAGGCAGCAGAGAGGAAGTGGACGCATGGGCCCGTCTGCGCTCCCCAGAGGAGTGCTAGGTGCTCAGGAAGACTGGAAGCTATTTTGCCATGTGGCTGCTGGTGGGACAATCACAGTGAAGCAGCCAGGTGCTGTTTTACCTTTGCCACAGTGCCAGGCCTGGGTAGGCGTAGCCTGGGGAGATTCTCTTCCCCCAGACAATGGCTCTGTTGCTGCTGCTAAAGGTAATTCTAACTAAAAATCTCCTGCTTTAATAAAACTCGAGATTCAAAGGCTACGGTGCAAACTCCAGAGCTCAGAGAGAACAGAATTGGCTAACTTTCTCTCTTTGCTAGTGTTCCCAGAGGCCTCCTCCTTTGCACACCGCTGCTCCCTGCTACTTCCTGTCAACTACTTGCTAACCCCACCTCTCTGAGCCCAAGCTAATTTTATTTAATTAACACAAATGCAACACATCTTTACATAGTTAAATGCATCAAGGAACAAATGTAACACATCTTTGCCTAGTTAAACAAATGTCCCACAACAGCCAGGCATCCGGCTCACCTTAGGACACAGCCACTTATGCTCCTGTGGTATAAGGACTTGATTTTTCCAAAAGCAAAGAGTGGGATAGAAACCGGACTACAAAATTCTACAGTCCTAGCTGAGGCTGGGCAGGGGTCCGGCTGCTGTCAGCTTGGAAGCAGGGCAGGGGCAGAAGGCTTCGCTCAGAAGCTACCCAACTGTGGTCTAGAGCAAGCAACTGGAGCCTTCTGCTGAGGTCAAACGACCATCAGAATTGGTCTGGGTAGAACTAAGGTATTGTACTTTAAAACTTTCTGTAGGGGCTGGAGAGATACCTCAGAGGTTAAGAGCACTGCCTGTTACTTCCAGAGGTCCTGAGTTCAATTCTCAGCACTTAGATGGTGGCTTTCAACCACCTATAATGAGATGTGATACCGTCTTCTGGCATGCAGGTGTACATGCAGAGAGAACCCTGTATACATAATAAATCATAAAAAAAACCAAAACCTTTCTGTAAATGGTGCCAGTCACTATGTATGTAAATGTTGATCTACGTGAAGCAATTTCCCTTCAAAACTATTTAGAGAAAGTTTCATCTATAGAAAAATTGAAAAAAATAGGATAAATACCAGTGTATTTTAAATCTACATTTGATATCGATAGCAATTTGCTCTTTTTTCTGTCTCCCTATTCCTTCCTCTTTCCCTTTTTGCTTAAAACTTATTCTTGGGGGCTGGAGAGATGGCTCAGTGATTAAGAGCACTGGTTGCTCTTCCAAAGGACCTGGGTTCAGTTCCCAGCACCCACATGACAGCTTACAGCTGTCTGTAACTCTAGATCCAGGGGATCTGACACCTTCACACCAATGCACATAAAATAAAGTTAATTACTAAACAAAAAACCAAACCAAACCAAAAAAAAAAAATTTATTCTTGGCCAGGTGGTGGTGGCACATGCCTTTAATCAGGAGGATCTCTGTAAGTTCGAGGCCAGTCTGGTCTACAGAACTAGTGCCAGGACAGCCAAAGCTACACAAAGAAACCCTATCTCAAAAAAAAAAAAAAAATTCTTGGGCTGGAGAGATGGCTCAGAGGTTAAGAGCACTGCCTGATCTTCCAAAGGTCCTGAGTTCAATTCCCAGCAACCATATGGTGGCTCACAACCATCTGTAATGAGGTCTGGTGCCCTCTTCTGGCCTGCAGACATACACACAGACAGAATACTGTATACATAATAAATAAATATTTAAAAAAAATTCTTATGTATGTGGGTGTTTTGCCTGCATGTAGCATGTATGTATGTGTATCATGTGCACGCCTGGTTCAAGCAGAGGCCAGAGGAGTCTGTTGGATCCCCTGGAACTGAGCTGCCACGTGGTTGCTGGGAACTGAACTCCGGTCCTCTGGAAGAGCAGCCACTGTTTCTAGCCACTGCAGCATCTCTCCAGTCCTCCTTTCCCCCCTTCTCTTAAAGATTCAGATATAAATACATTTTCCCTGACCATTTTATAGGAAGTTACAGATTTCAGGAGGCAATTACTAAAAATTAGGGTGCTCCTCTGTATAACTAATAAAATTGTTATTCAGAAAGGTTAATAATTCCATAACGACTATTATCCAAGTCATCGAATTTCTCAAACTTCTTCTCCTGATCTCAGGTCCAATACAATCTAATGTCTTACACTTGGATATTAGGTTTTATGGATTTCTTTTTATTTGTTAAAATAGTGTAATGTGGTCAAGACTGGTCTCAAATTCATGGTCCTCCTGCCTCAGGCTCCTAGAATTGGGGTGGTGTGCATGTAGTTCCCCTCCTCCCATTTGTTCATGTATTTACTTAATGTAATAAGGTATTGCTGTGTAGCCCAGGCCAACCTTCAGTTTATCCTCCTGCCTCTGCTATGTTCTGGAATTATAGGTGTGGAGTTCCTGGTTAACTTTCCTTCTTCCTCCCTCCCCTCCCCTCCCTACTAGGGAGTGAACTCAAGAGTCTTGTGCATGCTAAGCAAGCTGCAAACAGCTTTTTGGGGGGCGGTGTTCTTTGGTAGAGGGCAGAGGCTTGTTTTTAGTTTGCAGGTATGTACGTATGTCTATGCACCACCACATCTGTGACTAATGCGTGTGGAGGCCAAGAGAGGGCGTCAGATCCTCTAGACCTGATGTGAGCTGTCCTGTGAGTGCTGGAACAGAACCTGGGTCCTCTGGAAGAGTAGCAAGTGCTTTTGTTTGTTTGTTTGTTTTTCGAGACAGGGTTTCTCTGTAGTTTTGGAGCCTATCCTGGAACTAGCTCTTGTAGACCAGGCTGGCCTCGAACTCACAGAACTACCTCTGCCTTCTGAGTACTGACTGGGATTAAAGGTGTGCGCCACCACTTCTTCTCTCTCTCTCTCTCTCTCTCTTCCTTCCTCCCTTCTTCCCTTCTTCCCTTCCTCCCTTTCTTCCTTTAGTTCTTTCTTTCTTCCTTTCTTTCTTTCTTTCTTTCTTTCTTCTTTTCTGTTTTTTTTTTTTTTTTTTTTGAGGTAAGTCTCATATGATCAGCCTGATCTTGACTTTTGGCAATCTTAACTTCTGCTCTTGTTTTTGAGACAGAATCTCACTGTGCACCTCTGACTGACCTGGAACTCACCACGTAGACCAGGCTGACTTCAAGCTCCAGAGATCCACCTACTTTTACCTCCCTGTAGGATTAAAGGTGTGAACCACCATGCCCTGCTGGATTTCTCTAATGTAGGAAATCATTTTCTTGAGCCTGCCACGGTGATAAACACCTTTAATGCCAGCTTTTGGAGGCAGAGGCTGGCGGATGGTTGTGAGTTCCATCCTTGTCTCAAAAAAAAAAAAAAAAAAAAAAGGAAAGAAAAGAAAAGAAAGAAGCCCAGCATACTTTGTTGGGGTGCAAAAGATGGGCACTCTCTTCCAGAGGACTGTGTTTTCCTAATTCTTGCTCGTAGAGAGCCTAGACTCTTTTCTGACCTCTTAGGGCATCTGCAGCCACACAAGAACACATACATATAGATTTTTTAAAAAGGTAAGTCTTAACATTAATCCGACCACTTTGAACCTGATAGAAGAGAAAGTGGGAAGTAGTCTACAAGATATAGGCACAGGAGACCACTTCCTAAGCAGAACCCCAGGAACGCAGACAATAAGAGAAACAATAAATAAATGGGACCTACTGAAACTGAGAAGCTTCTGTAAAGCAAAGGACACTGTCAGTAAGACAAAAAGGCTACCTTCTGACTGGGAAAAGATCTTCACAAACCCTTCAACAGATAAAGGTCTGATCTCCAAAATATACAAAGAACTCAAGAAACTAGACACTAAAACTCTAATTAACCCAATTAAAAAATGGGGTACTGAACTGAACAGAGAATTCACAACAGATGAACTTTGAATGGCTAAAAAGCACTTAAGGTCATGCTCAACCTCCTTAGCGATCAGGGAAATGCAAATCAAAACAACTTTGAGATATCATCTTACACCTGTCAGAATAGCCAAACTCAAAAACACCAATGATAGCCTATGCTGGAGAGGATGTGGAATGAGGGGAACACTCATCCATTGTTGGTGGGAATGCAAACTTGTGCAGCCACTGTGGAAATCAGTGTGGCGGTTTCTCAGGAAACTGGGAGTCAACCTCCCTCAGGACCCAGCAATTCCACTCTTGGGAATATACCCAAGAGATTCCCTAACATACTACAAAAGCATTTGTTCAACTATGTTCATAGAAGCACTATTTGTAATAGCCAGAACCTGGAAACAGCCTAGGTGCCCCTCAATAGAAGAATGGTTAAAAAAGGTGTGGAACATATACACATTAGAGTTTTACTCAGCGGTAAAAAACAATGACATCTTGAATTTTGCATGCAAATGGATGGAAATAGAAAACGCTTTACTGAGTGAGGTAAGCCAGACCCAAAAAGAGGAACACGGTATGTATTCACTCATAAGTGGATTCTAACCATAATTAAAGTCTTTGAGCCTA